CTGTTTATTGTTCACCAACTTGATTACAACTAGATCTTCCTTTCTGTTAGTCCCCAACACCATGCAAAAAATCACAGTTAATTGACCCCTTTATTGTAAAGTCCTGTTCTGTTCCGGTATTAACCTCTAAGAAGTGTTGATCGCCAGGTCCCGAACCTGTCAAGGAACCAGCAAAAATTTATTTACTCTTTCAAAATATTTTTCACACAACAAGACTGGTTAATTATTCGCGACAAGCAAGCGGTCATCAAATTTTGATCATTGATGTCAGTGATATAAGGAGGCAAAAACAAAAAAAAGAAAAGAAAAGAAAACAGTGACATTTTTTAGGTGTATCTGTTTTGCTTATTATTAATTCATTTATTGTTTCACACTATTTAGATTAATATTTAAATATTTGCTTTAGACCAAGAAAGCTTTCTTATCAAGATTAGCTTTTAAGTTTTGTTTGATTGAAATCATCATGTATTCTTCATAGATTCTAGTCCTTCTTCCAAATCCAGGGTGCATGATATAAAGTCACATATATGTATTTAAGCTTCCTTGTGCTAATAAATCAAAGATGAACAGCATGAAGTGAAAAATTCATTATGAACTGGGTGCGTAGTTATAAATTGACTAGTACAAGGAACTTTTATACGCTGATACAGGTCAATACTCACTTATAGTGGTTTGTAGATTCAACGACCCCAACCAGCACCAGCTGCAATTGAACAGTTGTGACGCAATGTAATGAAATGCATGTTGTTGTTGTTGTTTTTTTTGTTTTTCTTCTCGAAAATATTTAAACGCGTCTACCACGTCACAAGATCCGTCGAGGGGTAACAGCATGCCCGGCAAAATACAGAGGCAAAGAATGCTTACGAGGTATCGGTCGTCAGTCTACTACGGGTTTTAGCTAGAATGTCGTAGTGGCGGAAACAAGTTATCAAATTTTAACAGTTTTATGATCAGTTTGCGATCGGGAAAGGGCTTAAGAGCGGATGTCAGTAAATATCGACCAGAGGTCTACAAAAGTGAAAAATCGAAAATTCTCAAAAAAATTCACAAAGTAGCACTAGGTAAGCTATTAACATAAATGTAATTTTTACTTCGATCCGATAATTATTTTCCACGTACGGGGGGGTTATTGGTTTCGCGGCTCTCGGAGCGGGTTTTCCAGGCCCGAGACCATGTGTCACAAAAAAATCGTTTTAAAATTCAAATCCATTGTAATGCGGACAACAAATAACTTATTCAGAAGAGTACATAATTGCACACATTTTAAGTGGTGATTTACTCAGTTTGAACGAAAATGTAATATTTTGGAGATTTTTCATTATTTTCAATATTTTGAACGTTTTCGTTCAATGAAAAAATGGCAAATTTCAAAGCCCCAAATCGTCGACTGGTACCTCGATTTCAGTAACGAGTCTTATACCACGTTAAAGAGCGTTATCTCTTCTTTCAAAATCTGTTTTCAAAACTACGGGCAACTAAAAAGAAAATTTTTGAGGTCAAAAAATACAAGTAGTACTTTTCTGAAATTTGAGCTTTCCAGACTCCCCTGAGACTCGGCGGGCCGATGCTAAAAACTCGGAAAAATACAACAAGAAATCAGTTTGAGAAACAGTGGCTTCAAGTTATCAGCTTTCAGAAACCAAGACGTGTTTATACAGCGATCTGATATAAATTAATGCCGTTTGCTATCAAGAAAGGCAGATTTAAGCTGTCAACTCCTGCCAAGTGCACCAGTCACGTGAAGTTGTCAAAGGGAGGGCAAAGCACTAATATTAAAAAGTCTTAAAATTCAAAACGTTTTGCGTCCATGAAAGCAGATTTTAGCGTACAAAACAATGTTGTGAATGTCTGTTGTTCGTACCTTAGCATGGTGTTTCCATACATTGGAAAGGTCAAGTATCCACACAGGAGAACATACCAAACAACAACGTTTTAAATCCAAGCGCCGAAAGATCGTAAACGGCAGAGATTGCGTTACATTTCACAGAACGACCGCTTACCACTGTTGTCACTCCTTTTTTCGCTGGAAGCTACGAGGAGTTTTCATTCCGTTATGAGTGATTCTTGATCAGCGCTTCCTTGAAAGTACGACCCCGGACAGATGATAACTGAGGACGCCTGTTGTTCAGTTTCAGGATTTAGCAGGTGCGTAGTCAGGATTTTTCCGGAGGTACACCCAGCTTTTTCTACATCGTCTCCCCCCCTCCCCACCCCAAATCTCAACATTTTTTAAGGTGCCTATATTAAAGGTGGGGTTAACGGTTGTAAGCAAAAGCATTTTTGCTGTTTATGAAATGACACAACCTCTAAAATTCTTTAATTCTGTCGGCTTGTTATGTTCATTGACGTCAACCGTTTATCATTAATTCAGCTATTAAAAATCAAGCTTGTAGTACCTCCGACTTTAGTTTACAAATGACTCTTTTTACCCTTTTTTGTCACATTATTTTTGACCGACAAAAACACCACACATTGACGTAATTGTGCCCTACTTCGTCTACTCCGAAGACAGGTCGTGGAGAAAACAACGCGTTCACGCTTTACATCATCAAGCTTACTATATAAATAAAGCATCCAAGGTTCGGTTCTCCAATTAATGTCCTCGCTTCTCTGGAAACCGATTTTTTTAGTTTTGTTTATTTCATCCTATTTTTTCTCCTCAACGTTTTCGGGTACACACGTGCGAACCGTGCATACAAGTGGCTACGCCCCTGTTTAGTCTCCTTAGCCCTGAGCGTTCCTCTCTTCCGGTTTTCGCAGGAGTTCAGGATGTGGTCTACCCAGTATTTCACGTCTCTATTAAATGACAGGCAGCACTTCTTGTTTACAGTTTCGTTATCAGACAGCGCTTAGGCTTTTAGCCTTTCATTTAATTTTGATCAAATTTTTATCATTTAGTTACTCAGTATACGTTCGATCCTGTCCTTGTAAACTTATACTTTTATACTTTAAGGGACATTAATACCTATATTAATTTTTTCTTTGTTTAGTATTGTCCAACAGACCCAGTTTTTTGGGATTTTTTTAAAAAAGCAAGAAAAAGAAACGACAAGGTTTATTTTTTTGGACTTAAATTAATTCTTTTAATCTAAGAAATGAGCATTATAACAGCATTTCCAGGCATAAAAAGTTCGGTGGTGTATCCTTTTTGCTTTTTACCCTTTTTGGGCCTTTTTTTTATGAAATTGACCATCACATTTTCCGCAATATTGAGTTTGTGTCGATTTGGTGACCATGTCTTGTTGTTTTCAGGCTCCATGGCAATGATGCTGGTGTTTCAGGCCTCCTGTTCTCAGATTTCTTGTGATTTTTTTTCACCCCACCGACCGACCCACCCAAGCCAGGAAACCTATTCAACGCTAAACGAACGAAAAGGGGGTGACCTAAGCCTTATGGTTTCTTTTTGGGCTTCCCCACCACATTGCTTCTGCGTATTTCTGTATACTTGTCTTTTGCTTTGTTTTGTTCTTTTTTGTCGGTAAAATAAACTGAAACTGTACAAAGACCCTCAATATTCCCTTTGGAGGCTCTCGAACGCGCATAAAAAAAATGAAAAACGCGATGATTTATTGACCGCAAGGGCAATTGGGTGGGGTTAGGGCTCGTTACTGCGCTCCGGTTCACTCGTGCGCTATCAAATGGTCCCGATATACAAAATGAAAAATGACTGCGGACAGACTATTCACGTCTAGACATCAAGCATCTTTTAAGATGGGACTTATCGCCTCTCCCTGTTCATGGAGTTGATTCAAGGTGTTGACGTCAATTTCGTGATGCCCTGCATGTTGCCGGCACATGTTTCAAAAGGGCCTTTCCACAGCTATGGAGTCCGCCGTCACCTTGTCAACCGTGCGAGAAATGATGTACTTCACAAAAACAAAGAGAAGTTGTTTTCGATTTTCCCCGCCCCCTACCCCCAAAACTCCCCAACAGGACCGCTTCAAAAGTACTCCCCACTCCCGGGCCCAAATGGCTGGACTTGTTCCTGTGGTTGCGCGGGGGATAGTAACAGGTCTAACTAATTGCACCGTGCATCAATGACAGTTTAGCTCAATCAGAAGCCCCTCTTCCCTGGCTAGGTCAAGGTGTGTGCACCTCCTTTAAGCTGTTTTTTCGGTTCTTACTGAAATTTTTGATCTTGAGGAAATTTACAACGACAGGAGCAGGTTATGGGCTTTTTTCCTACCCCTAATCCTACATCACGGGAAACTGGGAAATCCCTCAGGTTAGGCAAGAATTCGATAATCCTTCCATAATCATCCATTTTTTCACCGCGTGAATTGGGTTCTTTTTAGCTTATTTCGAGGAAATACTTTTTGCTTCAAATCCAGGGTGGGCTTTTAAACACATTTTTTAAGCCAAATGGTTTTTACGTGAATCTGCTTACCCGAACTTTTCGTATAAAACACGACAAATACCCGAAAAAAGCTCGTGTTATTGGTGGTGGTGGCATATTTCCGATAAATTCAGTTCAATGTCTCGTGAAGAAGAGTTCAGATCCGTCGAAATGCGAGCCCAAAAACAGGTGGTAAGCGGTCAATCTGTGAAAAGTAACGCAATCTCCGTCGTTTGAGAGCAGCCGAAGACGCTTTTGCCGATGCTGTGCTTGATGTTTTTTACTTCCAATATCTAGGAGACCCATGCTAAGGTATGAAACATACACTCGTAGGCCTTGTTCTGTCCGCTAAAGTCTAATTCCTGGACGCAGAAACGTTGTGCTTTTTGAAGTTTATTACTGTGCTTTGCCTTTTGACAACCTTACGTGACTCGTGCGTTTGGTAGCAGAAGATGGCTAAACTCCGCTTTTCTTGTTGGAAAACGGCTTTAAATTTTATCAGATCGCTCGATAAACACGTGTTTGTTTCTGATAGTTGATAACGTTAAACCACTGTTGCTCAAACTGATTTCTTATTGCATTTTTCTGAGTTTTTAGCATCGGTCCGCTGAGTCTGGAAAGCTCAAATTTCAGAAAAGTACTACTTGTATTTTTTGACCTCAAAAATTTTCTTTTCAGTTGCCCGTAGTTTTGAAAACAGATTTTGAAAGAAGAGATAACGCTCTTTAACGTGGTATAAGACTCGTTACTGAAATCGAGGTACCAGTCGACGATTTGGGGCTTTGAAATTTGCCATTTTTTCATTGAACGAAAACGTTCAAAATATTGAAAATAATGAAAAATCTCCAAAATATTACATTTTCGTTCAAACTGAGTAAATCACCACTTAAAATGTGTGCAATTATGTACTCTTCTGAATAAGTTATTTGTTGTCCGCATTACGATGGATTTGAATTTTAAAACGATTTTTTTGTGACACATGGTCTCGGGCCTGGAAAACCCGCTCCGAGAGCCGTGAAACCAATAACCCCCCCGTACGTGGAAAATAATTATCGGATCGAAGTAAAAATTACATTTATGTTAATAGCTTACCTAGTGCTACTTTGTGAATTTTTTTGAGAATTTTCGATTTTTCACTTTTGTAGACCTCTGGTCGATATTTACTGACATCCGCTCTTAAACTCCGTCAATAAAAATAACAGGGTAACTTTTCTGTTGAGAAAAATACAATGAAGCCTTCATCATGGCATAGAGAAAAAAACGATTGACTTGCGGAAATCTTTTATGTGCCACTATTCTTTTGTGGACAGTGCGGGATGGTCCCTCCTTTTCTTTGTTTTCAATTAGTTAAAACGGCCTCAAATACGGTAGTAGTGAACGGCTGTAAGTTTTGTTAATTTAAATTGTTAACCATTTTGGTAGACAGCGCTGCCTGATTTTCTTTCATATAAAAGGACAAAGAATTCGATGATTTCTTGTTGAAGAACCATCATCAAGCTTTTTACGTCATTGCTTAAATGTAAACAGTTAATTTCCGTAAATTGGCTCTGTTTCTGTACCCAGCCTAATGAACGTGGTTTAAAAGTTTCGTTTTGCCAACTTTAAAGGTGATGATGTTTCACGAGACGATTCGCAAAAAACGATTTTTAGCGCTATAGAGTGTTGCAACATTGTTGCGACATTGTTTCCAACGGTTACAACATTGTCCCAACATTACAACGCTGTGTTTCGCTAAAAATCGTCGTTGCGAATCGTCCCATGTAACATCACCTTAAGAGCGCGGGAATCTCTAAAGTCACCTGTGATTAATTTTATTGACAAGGGACAAACCATTACAAAGTGAAGAACGGGGTGGGGAGTTTCTGTTTTGCATATTAACTTCTTGCTTCGTCATGTGTGCATTTTTCAGTGTTTTTTCCTTAGCTTGAATGGGACAAGAAATTGAAACGCGAATATTACATTATAGATTTTTAATCCCACCCCCTTCACTTTTCTGATGCTTATCCGTCTCTAATCAGTCAGTCTGAAAAGGCAGGGAAGATGCCTCAATATAACAAAAGTTAATTTAAAACTCACCACAGTTGCCCCATTTTCCTTTATACACAGGATCCAAGGAGCACCAGGGTCTGTTGTGATTAACAGAAGTGCAAGATTTGTAGATCACTCCCTTGTAAATGAATGGGATACTGCAACATTGGCCTGAGGTAGTTTTCTGAGGGCACGATGCAGTAACTGTTGACACCAAAACAGAAAAAAAAGTACGTCTTGGTATTTGATAATATAATCCTTTAACAGACAGACTAACGTATTTTAAACTCACGGCAGTTGCCCCATCTTCCCTTATACACAAGATCAAAGGAGCACCAGGGTCTGTTGTGATTGGCAGAAGTGCAAGACTTGTAGGTCACTCCCCTGTATTTGAATGGAATACTGCAACATTTGCCTGATGTTGTCTTCTGAAGGCAAACAGTTGGTGACGGTGTGGTGGCTGGTAACACTAAGAGGGAGAAAATAAAAGCTTTTAAAAACTGATAACCGTGCAGTAATTATCAGGGTGGCCCTAAATTACAATACGGCCAAGGTTACTTGAAAACCTTTCCTGTATAAAGGCTAAAATATAACTTCTTCGTCTTAAAAAAGACATTGGCCTGACAACACGACGGAAATTGCAGTCATTCGAGTGAAAAGGTGTCAAAGGCTTGTTTCTTGAGCCAGGTGACCTCCAAAATCACAGTAACGAAGAAAAAGGAAAGGAGGAGAAGAGAGAAAAAGCAATGGTTGAATTCTTTGTTTTTGTAATGGCTACGTTAGACTACTTTGTGACTGAAAATAAAACAACAAACAAAAAAAAAAAAAAAAAACGTTGGAAGCAAAAGGTCCTTTTGGCGGTAACGTTTTCAAAAATCCGGATAGATATACATTCTTATGTATAATATTTAGTATAAATTATACACACTCAGTGATCTTGGTAATCCAAGCAATCTGATTGGTTAGCTATCTCGGACTATGACGTTATATTCACCACGCTAGGCCGTGAATATAAAGCAGAACAAAATCGCTGTCGTGAACTGGGTGTTTTGCCAAAGTTTCATAGTAAAGCCTCTTTGAAAATACAGGAATATCCAAGTGCTGATGACTTTGAAGGAAAGAAAAGACTTCATGGTGTTTGAACAGCGTGATTTATTGTGAAGTGGTTTACGGTAGCTGACTTTTTATACGCTCGAAGCTATGTTTACCACTACAGAGGAAAACGAGGTCGCTTTGTCACTGTTTTGTGATTTCGGGATTTTCTCGCAAGATTATTTTGCATGTAAATAGAAGTTAATTTATGGAAAAAAAGAGGAAGGTAAATATTTCCGAAAATTGTAGGTGCCAGCAAGTTAACAAGGCAAAGAACATTGGAGATAAACAACGCTCACCTTGATCATAGCCGCTGTTGACAGCATTTGCAAGAAGCGACAAAGAAAACTTTCTCATTCACGGTGAGTTGACAGAAACAAATAAAGCTCTACTTTTCTTCTCAGAATTGGGTAGTAATTTAAATTTTTGGCGTTTTCTTTTAAACCGTTGATGCTAAAGCTTACAAAACTCGATACAAAAAGATTATAACTATCATTTGCCATATTTGAAGATACTGTAAAGATCTAACTTTTGTGCATGGACTGTTCACGGCTTCGTGTTCACGCATGAATTCACCCGTTAATCAAACTAATCGTTTTTTAATGGTTTCCTTTCTGATTCTGTTGAGATCACTTCGTGTGACAGTATGTATATTTAACAATTATTCACCTCAGGCTCAGTTAATATCGTTGAATAATCCCCTCGACTTCGTCTAAGGGATTATTCAACAATATTAACTTCGCCTTCGGCGAATAATTGTTAAATATACATACTGTCACTTTTCAGGCACTTTTTTTTTAATGCATCCACCAGAATCTGGACCACCTTTAACATATAACCTTCACCTTTCATGCAACCTTCACATCAGTCAATTCAAATCCGTCACGCATAAGTATACTATGAGGACGCCTTAGAACATAACTACGACGCAGAGGACCCAGCCCGATCCAGGATCCTGGAAAACCATCTGTCCGTCATGTAACGTTTCACGTATAAATGTGTTTGTCCGTCTTCGTTGTTGTTTTAATGCTCATACTAGCTTAAGTGTTTTAAAAGTTACACATAGTTTACTGTGCTTTTCACAAACATGCGAACTCTAAGGTTCAAAAGCTACTTTCACAATTGCGTTTTTTGCTGCCGTCAATCATAATTACGATCACTAGCAACGAAACTTGAAACAGGGCAACACACAAAACGGATCGAAATCCACCAATCACAAATCACAAACCATGACATTTTGAACCCGTGAAGTAAAGTTGAGTTTCCTAAGAGGTCCGTTAAGATGAATGACAGCAGCGAAAAACGCAGTCGTTGGTTGGCCTTTGAACTGTAGAATTCGCATGTTTGTGAAACGTGCAGTAAGCACGGGGACCATTGGCTCACTGCTGTCATGATATCTTATTGGGCGTCTAATTGTTTCAATAAATATTTATTACCATTACTTTGTTTTACTTTTCTCTGTGTTATGTAATAGTTGACGCTTACCAAAAAAGAAATCAAATAAAATAAATACTTGTTAACAACTTCCTCACCTTTTTCAAAAAAAAAAAAAGAATTGTAGGATCGTATATGAAGAAAATTCAAGCAAATGATATTTCCACCTCGACATGAAGATGTTTGGGGAGCGGGTGTTTGATTTTTACTTGAGGGCTTATTGTTTAATGTTACTGGGTTCAATCATGTTAAGTCGGAAAAAAAAACCCTTTTGGTATTTGATATAAAGTAGTAGTCTGAAATGGCAGCCGTCGTCTCCCCCACAGTCATATACCTCTTACTCTTTATTTGCACTTCCTGAGGGTTAAGCTAGAAGAGGCATTCAGTGGCCATTAAAACTTACCGGTCGATACAGTACAAGTCCGACAACTTTTCTTGCAAACGGCTGAAAACATAAGTGATAATAAGTTCTAGACACATTACACGAGTGAAAAGTATCGGTTACTTTATTCATGTCCATACAAATCTGGCCTTTCACTGTTGCCCACGGCAGTGACGTCCTAGTTAATCAATTTCACTGAGTATAACCCAAGGAATAATAGCGGGGCTCCCTCGTGCGCGAAGCGCGCGTGGGACAGAGCCCCATACTCATAGAATATGGTCAACCTCTTTTCATTTGGTTGTCACGTGACTGACCGAGCGTACGTACGTACGTACGCGTCTACAGATTGTACGGGTAGGGTAGGGGAGACTATCAAAAGGAAGGGAGGGATGTCTCAGGTGTGTCTTCGCAAACCCATATCTTTTATATTGGCCATTCACAATATGGTCAATTGACAGCTGTCAAAACAGGATAGCCACTGACCAGTATCACATTGCCATATCGGGGGCTCATGTGTCAACTCATCAAGGTGACGTGATTTATTTGGAAGCTGTCCGCTGACCAGTTGTTTTACTAGCTCGTAATCAATGTTCAATCTCGTACTTTCTAGGTAGCTAATTTGAGAGCACAGGAAAACTGATAATGCACACATCTATTGGACATCATTGTTGTGATCAATTGACAGCTGTCAAAACAGGGTATCCGCTGACCAGTATCACTTGACCGTATCGCGGGCTCAGGTGTTGACCCATCGAGGTCGAGTATTTTTTTGAAGTTATCCGCTGACAAGTTACTAGTTTTCAAATGATCGCAGGCTCAAGTTTGATTGTTTTTTAATTTGTATGAAATATGTTTTGTATTTGTGCCGCACAATTAAAATATTGATTTAAAACTGACCTCGGACGCGAAAATCCAGCCAGCTATTACAGGCGGGGAAGGCAGTTGCTTTTGACTTTGCTGACCATGGTCACACGTTGGTCACGCTCTACGTCCAATTTTTACTCTCTCACCGGTCAAAATTTGACAGGTGAGCTCATGCGGAAAATTTATGCAGCATTTTGAATCTTGTTTACTTTGACAGTTGAAGCTAACAGAGTTTTGTGTCAACCTGTGATGTTTTTAACTGTCTTTTTCCTCTGGATGCACAAAATGAAATTCAGCTGCTATCAGGAGTCTTCTGTTATTCATGGCTAGTTGGTTTTTGGTTGAGAAAATAGTACATTACTTGTCAAAGTTGGAAATCCGATTTCGGATGGCATCGATTTCGCTTTTCACCTTGCTTGATGCGTAAGGGTTGAAAAGTCTGAAGCGATACTGGCCTTCCTTGATACCTTTCAGGAGCTGCATGTCGAATGGTAAGCCTCAGTAATTATTGTGTTTGATGTTTGTTTTTTATATCTAATTTAATGAAGTCGAGCGCAGTTTATGCGGCTATGTAGTTTGTGCACGTTTGTAAGATTTGAGACAATTTGATATGACCAAGAATCAGGTTTGATATAAGCTTACAGAACTTTAAAAAGCCTTTAGACATTTTCTCACCGCAAATAGAAAGAAAACGTTCCAAAAAACATTTAGTTATAATTCTGGCTGTAAAAGAAAGCTTTGAGCGATTTTCTTGCCTCGAGTTCATCTTTGAAAAAAGTAAATATCGGGAAGCCGGCTTAAAACATAAACTTAAGCTTTCAGGTTAAGCTTGAAGAGTCAGTATTTTTAGAGACACTTTAATACTTGTCTTCGTCAATGAAAAGTGTTGTCTCTGTACATGTTTCACCGAATTATATTTCTTTTATTGATTGTTGGTAGTCTCTCTTGTAATTTTAATCGCCGTGCCGTTTGTTTTCAGTTGTTCAGTGAACATCGCTTGCAGGAGTACTCACAGTGCCGCGGGTATCAAACCGGCGCTTTTAAAGATTACACATCGATAAAACCATTTCATAAAACTGAATAAACATAATAATTTCCTTATTATGTTGTAGCTTAACTCTAGTATGTTCGTTCAAACACTCGCTACAGTTCGCACTGCAAAGGTGAGAACCGGCTGGCCGTATATGATTTTGGAAATTTTTTTAACGGTTTAAAAAGCCCACGCGTGCTTCGATCGTCCTGAATATTGAATGAGTGCAATTTGTGTTGCAAAATTGTGAAATACTGCATTCTGTCTGAGGTCTGTATGATAAAAACAGTACCTCAAAGTACTGTTTCACCTCAGATGTGATGTATAAATGGTATAAAAGGTTGGTTTACACGCACCCGGATTTGTTGGCAAGATTTTGTAAAGTAAACTTGTCGAACGCAAAAAAATTCGGCCTGATTTTTTTTCCAGGCCTAATTAATCTTACGGTGATCAAGAGCCACTAAGGCTCCTAAATGTGATCGAAGATGATTGCTATTTTTTGGGTGTACATATAAGGCTATCAACTTGATGTAAGATTTTGTTCACTCTTAGGCTGTTTGCAAATTATTTTTCTCTAAAGTCACTCAGCCTTTCCCTCAAAAGTCACATGAATGTGCTATGTGCTCTAAAGTTAACTGAATTGTGGAATACAAGTTTATTGTTTGATTTAAATTTTAAATATATTAATGGGAGCCTCGCTTTTAGCCCTGGCTAAATCTATATATTAGAATGACACTAAGCCACAGTACTATAGATTTTAAAGCAATTTGGCCATTTGTTAGCAGCAAATGTAAAATTTACAGGAAATAAATTGAAATTGAAACCTTTTTTCAAAAGCAAAAGTAGTTTTGAATTTGTGAAATATATAACATCTGGATTTGGCCCCGGGATAATCTGAAAGAAAACGTTTTAGTTCTGACCTACTTTGCACACAACAGCCCACTTTCTTGCAGTTTGAGAGCCAGATACATGTTAGTAGTTGCACTGTTAGTGGTCCTGTTGACTCCATTAAAATCCTTCTTCTTGGTGATTTTTGGTTATTGGAAGCAACTTCAGTATTTGATTCAGTTTTCTGACGATCTTAACCGATTGGGAATTCCCATAGTTTCAAAACTTCCAATACTTGCGGCATTATACATATTTAATTAGTTCTTTCATTAGTTTCGAATTTTCCCAGAGTATGGCACAATTGTTAAAGTTGCCACTTTTACGTACCTTTATAAAACGTCCTCCGACAAAGGTGTGGAAATTTAGCAGTCTGCCACGGACATAAGTATGGATCGTTGTCTTGGCAATGGGGATCCACTTATGAAGAAAGAAGAAAAGTGCATTTTCATATAAAAAGAAAGAGAAGAGGCGTCTTTTTAAGGCCCAAAACAGTCAGTCAATAGTCAGCCAGTAAAACCGTGGAAAAAAAAAAGATGTACTGGTTGACTGCCGATAACTCGAGCCTCACACTTACTCGAACCAAAATCGATTTTCCCTGTATATCCTTAATACATTTGCTGTAATCATGGTAATTGTTACCCTCGCATCGGTAACTCTAACCCTCGAAAACTCGAGCCTAGCTCCGGCTATACCAACACACTACAACGAGCGTGTCTCTACAAAGGCCAGAAGATCAGATCAGAGGGCTAAATGTCTAACTTCTAACATATGCCGTGTCAAGAAATCGAAAAGCGAATTCACATATTAGGTAGAAGCTCCTTAAGTTAATTATATATTTACGAATCTGTTTGTCATGGTTATTGGATTTGAGTCACTTGCTTTATTACAAGCACATAAACGGGTGCTTCGCCTTTAGGACTGGCTATAAAAATCTATTGGGAGGTCACCGGCAATAAAGATCTAACTCTTATTACAAAAGATTTATTTTACAGCATCATTTAAATACTCCACTCATCCTATGCCGTTTTTTTATGGTTTAACGGATTTTTAATATTTACCATAACATCTGTTGCAACTTTTCCTGCATGAATCCCAAAGAGTGAATTTTTGGCGATACCTATATCGTCCTACGACGTTCTTCCAACAACCTCCGGCGACCGCCATTGATGGACATTTTGACTGCATACTAGGACTGTCTTCACAAGGTTCTTCTCAAGAAAAAGTAAACGAAAATCCCAGTGTTAATAATGAACATTAACACTTACTTATGTTGTGTAAGGTTAATAATGAAAAAATATTAAATTCTTAGTGTTAAGGTTATTAACAAAGAGCCTTTAGACGAGGGAAATAATCAGAATATGTGCAAAATGCAGGTGAGATTGTTTCCTTAAATCCCAGTTTACCATTGTGTTACCTATTAATATCATCGGTGACAAATTACGCACACTGTTTTTTTTGTTTTACTTGTTCATGATCGTATCGAGAGCTTATTAATAATGATAATAACTTTATTTCTATAGCGGTCTTATATTATGTTCAAGGCGCTTTACAGTCATGTAAACAAAATTATTAAAAAAATATTTACAAATTTACAACCATATCCTATTTTATTATATAGACACGAGTGTTTTACTAGAAAATATACCACTCGTAAAATTCATAAAAACAACATCCGGGACCCGAGTGGTTTATTTTCCATAATCTCACACTTGAGTTTATCGATGACGTAATTTCGGTCATTTCCCTCTATCTTTTTGTCTATATAATAAAAAGAACATTACACGGCGGCTTGAAGATATGAATTTTATTTTCTCGTGGCAAAAACAATATTTTACTGACTCGCTGCGCTCGTTCGTAAAATATTGTTTTGCCACTCTAAAATAAAATTCATATCTTCGCGTCACCGTGTAATATCCCCTATATATTTACGATGAGTAAAAAAGGACAAATTAAAACTAAAGCAACTATTAAACTATTTTATTCATAATGATTAAAAATAGGGAGGGAATTAAAACTAACGCAATATATACAAATCTATAAAAACAAAGATCCGTTATTACTGAATTTAGTAGTTACAAGTTTCCGAATTTTTTGGACAAAATAGAATCCTTTTGAAAGCGCGCTTTCGAGCGTGTAGGTTAATTTCTAGAGCATCTTTTAAAGCCCTGACATCTTATTCATACATTTTAAAACTTCGACGCATCTTGGTACTGAGACGTACGGAACATTACCAACTGAAGGCAAAATAATGTAATTTCACGTGTGAAATTGTAAATTAACGCTTAACTTTGGGGCCAAAATTGAGGAGTAATTTCATCACCCTTGATTGTCAATGTTAAAGCATACACATGACGATGTCCAATCTAAGTACACAAATATTAACTCTTATAGCCAAACAATGGCGAAATATTTTAGGTTTGTTAGAAATTCCTTACTAGGCCTACGTCACGGCGTTTTTACGGACAGGTTTATTTTTAGACACATTTTAGGACAGGAAAATAGAAACTCCACCATGTCTATGATCGCTTTCGAAGTATAAGATATTAAAGGGACTGGTTCACGATAATGCGCATGTGTGAGTTCTGACAGTAGCTGATTGTTTTTCAACCAATCGGAAGCGAGTTAGATGCACGCAAGTAAATTTACAAAATTCAAATTAAGAGTGTGTCCATGAGAAAACCAGGCAGAACCAGGCAGGGGTGATAATGCTCAAATCACCGATTTCGCTCAAACTTGGCACAAATGTTAGGTATCAGGAGTTAGCTTATGTGACAGAATGTCAGGTCAAAATATTAAATTCCCTGGGAGATCCGGGCTCCCCCTGTAAAAAATCGCCATTTTGCCCGTTTATGCATAATTAATTAGCTAACTTTACGATGCCAGTGCAACAAACAGAAAAGCCACCTGGAACTTAAACGCACTGAGAGATAATCAGACATCATAAGACTTTAAGCACAATACACTGTTTAAAGTCGCCGATTCGATTTCCCCCCTCTTAGCCCCCTTAAGTTGGGTCATCATTTCCAAGTTTTGAGTAAGACGTAAAATTAGGGTATTTTATTCCCAAATATCTCTGATGAGCAACCGCTTATCTTTACAACTTTTGCATGAGTAGTTAAAGCCATCACTTAAGTTGAGAAAAAGATCATAAAAAGTTTGGGCAATTCACTTTCTTCCATGTGTTGACATAAACTGTTCATGTGACTCAACGACTTTTGCATATTTCATCAAAATTCAGGCCCTCACAATATTCGTGTGTTTGCCTTTTGAATGAGGAGAAATCGAACCAAAAAACTCATCAGACAATGATTTAACATTAATAAGGGTAAAATCATAAAAATTGTTGTGCAAGAAACGCTAACGATGATTTTTGATAGCTATATACGCGATCTTTTCAAGTAAAAACAACATACAATACAAAGATTTAATTCACAGTTCTACTTACTTTAACAATTTCGCCCTAAAAACAATAATAAACGATCAATAAAATCCATGTACGTATCTCTTAGATGTCTCAACTGCTAGTTTGTGCCCGCTTTGATTTGTTCTTCATGCCACCTTCGATGTCCAGTTCAGCGTAGTTCAGCGTCGTGACTCGCTGTACGACTAAAATTCCTTAGCCATCAGTTTATGCACCAAAATCCAAATCAAGTTGTTTTAGGACAAAACAATACGAAAGGTAGAAAGCCGATCCTTAACCCATTGAAAGAATTATTTCTGCCACTGTTGTAGCGCAATTCACATGTTGCAAACGTCCGACATCTTTGACATTAAATGGAGCCCGCATTTTTAAGCAGCGGTTGCCACCATACGGAAACATTGTATCGGGAGTCAGGAACCAGGAGCCAGGAGCCAGGAGCCAGGAGCCAGAGTTCAGTGAACAAAATGACTTTCCGACATTCTCTGAGATTATTTTATTGTTATTGTATGCTGATAAATAATTTAGAATTCCAAATCTATTGGCAACTTTATTCAGACCATGATTATAAATGATCCCATGTCTTCTCAAACTCGGAGATAGAAGTCGTTTTGTCTTCGTGTTTTGGAAAGAACTATTTTTTCTATTTTAGTTGCACGTGAAATAGCAGCGAAGTGAAGCTGGATGTTGGTGCAGACCAGTTCAAAGAGACAAATAAAGCGTGAGACACGTCCAGATTGGCGTGCGACAAGAATTCCATTTTTTTTCATACTGGAGTCCCTTATCCCCGGGGGAGTGTCCAAGTTGCGTACAAATGCCCTACCCTGCTGACACCAGATTTGACTGTCATAAACAGAGAATTTTTTTATCTCGCACGGTCTTTTGGGGCTCTTATAAAGCCTAACTGTGGCACTAATGTTCCCAAGTAGAATTCAAAATACACCACACTTTCACATTGAGTTATATATTTTTCTCAAACAACCGCTTCCATATGTTTAACACCCTTCCCACATTCCCTTCGAGAGATACTTCAACTGTAATACTTCGATTTCAAATTTCTCACCCTACCCAGGTAAGGTCAATTTTCTCGTCCTAGACATCGATCTCGGAAGGGCCTTTTTGCGTACTCTTGGGCACCAAAACCAGTTTAGTGCCCAGCCGTGTGCCGTGCTGAGGCATGCAGATGTTGAATTATGGACAGACACAACAATTAAGTTACAGACATTTGATGTTCCGGTCCGTGCGTGGTCGGAAGACACCCAGTAAATAATGCCCATGGGGTTGCCCAAGGAAAATTTGGGTTTTACGCGAGTCAAACTGCAGGAGGTCTTTAACGAGGAAAAGTGCGGACACATCTATTTTTGGAGTGAATGTACTGCATGCAATTTTTAAGTTACAATATACTATAGATAAATCTAATTTGTTTCTAAAGTTCCTCTCATACTCCGAGTAGCTTAGGACATACAGGGAACGCAGAGATCAGACCATTGCATCATGGAAAATTCTCAATCAGACTGTCATCGTAAAAAGTGGTCGCGGTCGCTTACTGGATGTGGATGTGTTCGTTTACAGGAGGTTCCAACTACAAGCGCTTTGACTTGATAATATATTTGGTGTGTTGAATAAGTGATCGCTTATTGGGAAGTGGTCACTTAAGTTGGGTGGTCGCACGTAGGTTTGACTGTGCCTCGTTAAGCGAAAATTTGTTAAAATGTAAGAGAAATCCTAAAATTGTAATACAGAGGAAGCTCTCGTACGAGGGCGCCCTCGGGACGGGAAAAAGGTGTCCTTAACTGGATCTGGCCGCTTACAAGAATGAATCTCATATGCAGCATAGTTATGCAAGTGGAATTCAGCCACTTTAAAAGTGGTGTAAAGGTTAGATAGCCGCTTACGGAAGCTCCTCCCAGCTACAAATTAACACTGGTAATAGCAAAAAACTGTTTTTTAGTGTATGGTTACGCTGATGTTCTTGCCTTGTGGTAATTTAGGTAAAAGCATACAATTCAGTTTCTCTTAACAAGTGTAACCGGACGAGTATGTGAAAAAACGGTAACTCTGAAATGGATATATAAGAATGATTCATAACAGTGACAAACAACCATATGACTGTGGACATGATATGAAAAAAAAAAAACAACATTCAGAGGTGGATAAGATTTCTTTCGAGTGTCTGCTTAGGAGAACTTTAAATCAAAGCTAACATCTAATTCGCCGGCAAACCCTTTAAGTGTCCGCGGCCGCCTACGGGAATGTAAAAATCCAGAGTTTGTGCGGGAGTTGAAACGGTATTTTGTGATGGCGGTCGTAAGTAGAGCTATTCACTATATACGAGAGTGTCCGTTAAGAGAACTTAATCTAGTGTATGAATCCGCAAATGACAGCTTAAATGAGAAGTGAATATAGTCAAAGTGTATAAGTCTGTGTTCAAGAAACTGTTCTCTAACACCTTCCTTATAGCCAAAGAAGTCTAGCCGACTTTTTTTTGCAATGTATTAGTGCCCCCTTTTGGGTCTTTTGTATTCCTCAGAAGTTTTTCCTCAACACGTTTATAAACGGTTATTATTATATTTTTGTAGTCAATAATATACCCAGATACAGATATCAACCTGTATAGTTGTAAGACTACGAGGATTAAAATACAACTAAGTAAGTAATTATACCCAGTGGCAAGTCATTAATTGTCCAAAAATTGCATGGCACGGTCTGACTACAAAAAGGGCTATTATGGACCCTTATTATCATGTTAATTAATGTCAACATCGAATAAACTCAAAATTTCAAGTAACACGACTTTCACAACCTATTTTCAACACACCGGTCATAACAGGATATTGGCGCGTACAACAATAGATAGCGTATTCCGCATTCCGGAGTTCGGTAGTCCGGCGTCACAGATTCCATCTTTTTGGCAGAGTCTAAAGTCAAAGATAGAGGGTGTTCGAGCAGGTGGTTGTTTGCTGTAGATATAGACGGATTGTCAGTGATCCTTCTTGTCCTTTGAGAATGATTTTGTTCTTTCTGACTACAACTTATTTCAAAGACTTCGAATGGTCGGTGAAAAGCCGACACTTTTCATTCTGCAATGTTTCAAGATGTTTCGATTTCATTACCTCGTCACGAAGTAACGCCACAAAGGACCAGACGAAACTGGAGCAGCAAGTCTGGACTAAACCACCTGAGAGACGTGTATGTAACATTTATTCACTATCTTTTATCCTTGTTGGGTCTTGTTTCACCTACAAGTTGGACCGATCGAAGTTTTGAACTAACTCTTTTGCTCCTTGTGTTTACTCAAGCGTTCCATAAAATATCCATCCAAACGTCCATAAATAACACAGAAAACGTGCCTCAGGTGACACGTTCTAACAATTCCGCTATTAGTATCGATAATGACGCATCTGATTTGTGACTTCTCGTCAACTTTGTGCTATTTTTGTTTAAAAAAACGAATGTTACGTTTCTTCCAATTTTGGTCAAATGACAAATAAGAGCGTCAAGTCAGATGTACATAATACGTCATTATTGATAAAGTATAAGATTGCCCAAATATTTTATGATTGATTTGATAACCTTAAAGATGTCTTTCAAAGAATATGTGAGAATTACGTACATAGGTTGTTGCTCATGGGAGATGTTAGCCACTAAAATACCTTAAATTTAGGGTTTGGTCAAAACAGTGACAAGATGTCCTTACTTTAGGCTAAATAATAGGAAGAGATCGAATTAGAGAGTAAAAATAAAATACTGAGCATTAAGTTTGATAAACATAGAAGATGATAAAGTTGATTAGATTTGAAGTTGTCTTTTCTTCTTGTTGAACAGCCAAACCAAAGTCAGCTAATTAATTATGCAAAAATGAGTAGATTTTGTCGTTTTTAGGGGGGGGTCCCTGTAAATCCCAGGGAATTTAATATTGCGACCTTATTTTTTGTCGAGGTTAATATCTCACCACACCCATCAATTGTGCCAAGTTTGAGCGAAATCCGTGATTTGAGCATTATCACCTCCTGCCTGGTTCTCTCATGGACACACTCTTAATTGTTCGCGACGCGAGGGTATTCCCGGGCATTTGGTTTGATTTTATTTATCCCCATAATTCAAGTTTATTCTTTGCTACTCCTCAGATATATGTTGCTGCCGATAAGAATAAGATTTACAGCCCTGTCCTGCTTTGAAACAAAGATTGACAAACGTGTATTTTTACGAGGTCGTACCCACGCTAACAAAACAGTCACCGATCGGCAAACAAAATTTGTAAACAAACATCTTATTACTGTTCTCTCAGTTCGCCTTATATAAACCCAGAAATACCTACAAATAGCGCCTGACCGGTGACAAAAACACACAACGTATGAGTATAAAGATTATCCTTAATTGAGCCTAAATTTCAATTGCTTATCAGCAAATGAACAAATTCATTCGCGTTGCATCGGGTCAGGGCTCCGCAAAACAAATGTTATCGAGTAGCACACATAAAGAAACTAGATTATAAACAGAACATTCAGGCAATAATTTATTTTAAAAACATCAATTCTTAAACGATCGTAAAGCAAAGATACAAGGAACATTTCAAGTGTACCAGATCGGGGAGGATCGCCCGGCCTGTTGCGGTATAACTACAGGTCAGAGTCAAAAATCAAATCAAAGTTGAACGAACTCATGCCTTTAACCACTTTCAAAGCAGTGTCGTGTATTCTTTTCGTTTGCCACACACTACTCCTAGAACCATACCAGATCGATAGGCGCAGCTTCTCTATCTCCAGAGACTCTTGAGAACGTCCTGTTGCCGGACGGCCACGATGCTCTTCTGAACCTCCATGATCAAAACATTATTTTTTGCGTCTTCTTAAAACGTAACCAGTCAAACGACACAACCACACGTTAATCACCACTACCAAAGTACAACTAGAGCAGCCAAAGCGACGGATGTCCGAATAAAACGAAGGATTTTCAATGATTGTACCGGTAATGGCGATTTCGAATTTAGTGTTGACCCGACAAATTTATTCTGAAGAGACAACCGGCGCGCATGCGCATTATCGTGAACCAGTCCCTTTAAAAAGGAAAAAAACTAAAAACGTTATTAAAAGGGAAAAAATATCATTGTTAGGTCTGTCAGGTTTTGCTGACTGATTTGTGGAATTCAAAAGATATTCAAAAGTCACCCCAAAACCTTTCTAAAAATAGAGTTGTCTGTAAAACGCTGTGACACGAGGGTATGGAAGTTGTTTGCTCAGTTTGTGGACTCCTGCCCAGGTCAAATAAGGTACTACCCCCTCACCCCGGGCTAAAACATATACTAGCCACTACTATTTGAATCTTGGTTGTTTTGTCCCATGCAAGGGAATGGGGATTCTGGAATACGGGAAATTTTAGCTTGTGGAATCCAAGGCTTTAGAATTTGCGATAAATCTCAAGGAATCAGGAATCCCACTAAGAATTGGAATTCAGAATCCCATTTCCACTCTCAAAGAATTAGGATACCAGTACTCGACTGTAATCCGAAATCTACAACGTGGAACTTGTAAAATCTGTCTAGAAGCCGACTGTCTTGCAATGGATTTCCTTACATGTGTTTCCCCCTTTTCATTCTTCCAGATCCAAAGCCTTTTAATTATTGACGTATACTGATTTTTAAAGACTTTTATCGAAATGTACCTAGGGCTTGGTTGTCACATGCCATTTTCATGATTTTCTCCAGTCTGCTGATAAGGTCACTGTACGAATGTACTTGAATGACATTCTCATTACTGCCAGCAATTTCTTTAAGTTCACCATAACCAATCCCTTTCCCGATACCGATAGCGATTCGCCTAACTCCAGCAAGCTTTAAATTTGAAGATAGCATAATTAGTAAAGGTAAACACATGATTTCGAGAGCAATTTTGGACAAGAAGAAAGACTAAAAAAGGGCGAGTGCAATTTGTGGTCTTTGAAAAATTTTCGAGTGCTGATTTATCCCAAATTGCACGAGAAAAATCATGTGATTACTTGTTAATAATATACATGCAAAAATTTGACTGCCGTTTGTCACAGCTCCCTGTTCCCGCCTACAAATGACAACCTCGTCCAAGATTGGTCTAAATTTTGACAGGTGAAAAATATTGATGGATAAAAACGCAGAAGCTAGAAAGATGTTTACCGAGAACTCAAGCCTTTTGTCATTTTACGTTTTTAGCTTTTCATGTTTTTCTACTGCCGCACGGAAACAAATAGTAGACCTGCACCGTTCTAAACCTCTTATTTCACTGGTGTTGGGGCAATTTTTTTTCCTTTTGTTTTTCGTTTTCTCACTTACTTGTTATCGTGTATTCGTTTTCTTTTCGCTCTCCGGTATTTCGTTAATTACGCTCCTTTGTTACGTGCTGTATGTAAATTTCGTTATAGTTTGTTATCTCGCCTATTTATTACCAATTTTACGGGTCTGTTAGTGTAACAGAATTCGTCGAAGTAGATTATTTTTTTCCTCGGTTTCCCTGACCACCAACCCTGTTATCCTCAGCATTTGGTAAGCAGCTTCGTTTTCATCGTGTTTTCATTAATTTCATTTTGCAGTCGCTTTAAAGTAGTTTTTCTGTATTGTAACTATTATTTTTTCGCTCTTTGTAGGGAATTTACTTTTTTTTATGGTTTGGTAATAGTAAAACATTTGCTGACTGTGAGTTCACGTGTTGTGTTTTGGAATTGGCCCTTACCCGTTCAACTGGTCCCCTTTAATCTGCACTTCCATTGTTTTCAGGGATAGGGGCGTTGTTATGTGACAATCCCTATTGTTTTCTCAGCTAATCAAAAACAATCTTTCATATAGGTGCGGGATCGCCAGACAAATAAAACTTCTAACAAGATTCCTTTGCATTGTTGTGTTTTGTTTATTTGGGTTGATTGAGGAAAGCGTCGCAACTGTGGTTTCATCGATGGCTATTTTTGTAGTTCATGCAGGCTTTTAAAACAGAGTAACGGCGAAAACTGAAGCGTTTCTAATTACCTCACCTACTAGCTCTCAGGAGGTGACTTTCAGTTATTGCATTTTTTCCCCGTTTAACGGGGACCATAAGCTAAATTATTTTAAGTTTCTTACACGGTGAGTTGTGAGATAAATTTGAGACGATGTATGGCCTAGTGTTTAAAAAACACAAGCTTTTTAAAAACAGTACACGACTGAATTGATTAAAATGAAAGTTCTAAAGGAAACTTATTTGTCGTGTTGGTTGTAAAAGGAAGGCCTTAAGCAGGGTAAGTTCATCTAGTATTTGCCTTCCAAACACAAAGCCGGCTATTAAAACTAAGCTTACAAACAAACAGAAAACAAGGTTTTAAAAAAGATTTTCCGCAATACTTTAATGACACTACTCCTCCAAAGACGTTTTATGAAATTAGAAAAGTGCTTTTGTTTCAAGACATTTTCATATTTTGGTTGTCAGTCAATAATTTTGGATTTTGCTATTTGGCTTTTGTTTCTTGTGCTTTCTTGGAGTGTGGGTATGCCGCGTGAATGAACCTGAAATCAGAATTGCTTTATGTTTACATCATGACTGTTTGTGATTGAAACTTACGTCTGTTTGTATATTCTTTATCCTCATCAAAAAAAAAAATACATAAAGGAGTAGCCGATTATTCTGACAGACGGGCTTAAATGGACTCACCTGAGCCTGAGAACTGAATCTACTTTCAACTTTCTGTACTCAATTTAACAATTAGTTCATACGTCAGCGTGCGTATGTCGAGATATTGAGCCTGCGGAAAGTTTGGAGAGCACAAAAGAGGCGTAAGAGTTGCTCGAGGAGCAGCCGAAAGCAACACTAGCCTCTTGAGTGCTCTCCAAATTTCCCAAGTGCTCAATATCTCGACATACGTACAGTTGAAGCATGAACTAATTGTTTTATAACATCGTCAAAGCATGGATAATAGAAGGATTGGGTCTTTCTGTTATCCATGGTCAAAGCGATCAATGCAAAAGTTAACTTAAATTTTATTTTTGTAGCGCGCGCTCAAACCAGTACTAGTCAGTGTCTACGTGACTATAGTTTTTAACCTCACAGTTATGTTTTTGTCTTGAAACTCAAGAGCCAATGAGCGTGCTGAAATTTTTGCATGTATATTATTAATTACATGTAGATTATTTTAAAAAAATATGCTTAGAAAAATGCAATTTAGAAAAATGCGCAACAGACGGAACGTCCATCTGAGCGAACTATCTTATCTGCGTTAAACAAATAAAAATAACTCCTCGCTTTTCTTCTCTCACTGCGTCCCAGTATAACGGTTTTGTACCAAGTGAGTGACTAGATGCAGAGACCCTATTGTCCACTGTACCGCGTAATGAAATATAACATAACAAGATAACAAATTAATGTCCCCCCATCGCTGCGAGTATGAAAATTAACAACAGAGAATAAAAATGCTCTTATGTTGTAAAGACAAAAGCTCCTACAATAATTTATTAATTGGAATGACCTTTAATGGGGGCAGAACTTGAGAAAATGGTTTACTGCCTTCATTTGTGTTCCCATCAGTGAGCACAAGCAACACATTCGGTATATCCGGTCTGTCCCCAGTCTCCTGCCATCCAAAGAAGTCTTCTGCTGCTAGTTCCAGGGCCCTATCAGTCCTTGTTCCACCTCGAATATGTGGTAACTGGACAATTTTCCTCTGTAATTCCCCGACACTCTGTGGATCTTCAAACCTTAGAAATGAAGCCAAAAAATTAGTTTTATGAAAAAGTTTCCATGCATGTTACTTACAAAATTAATCTGCCGTCAGATTTTACAGGTAAGCACTGCTTAAGACAATGTGCATATTCAGGGTCTAACAATTGCGAAGGTCAGATCTTCATTTAATTTTGAATTTCTGCAGTTCACGTCGTCTTCCATGATTTATTCCCATTCCAGGGTTTAGTTGAATTCAACAACATATCTTGTTTTTCAATGCAAAGGTCTTCATAGCTCAGTTTGTAGAGCACTGCAGCAGCAACGCAGAGGCCATGGGTTCGAATCTCCTAGAACTCCCGAAATTTTTGTCGGTTAATTTTCAATTGCTTAAATTGCTATAATTGAAAGTGGCAAGCCAATTATTTCATATTCAAATTGAACATGACATTTCCAGTATAGCAAAATAACGCCGTGTGCTGTAAACGAACCTGTAAAAAGTATGTGCTTCCCAGCTGTACAGAAGAATTGCCATGTGCGTACCGGGCTCGGATATCTCAAGTCTATTCACGAGCCCCTGTAAGAAGGATTTTGCTTTTCCATAATCAGTTGGATGGATACTGTTTGACGAGTCTATAATCACGCCAACATCCAAATGTTCCTTGCATGGCGGAGGTGGGGGAGGAGGACCTAAAAGAAGACGACAATAATACGATAAGACGTTAAGATTCAAGAAATAAATTTAAAATGACCAATGACAGCCGTAATTGTTGTAGAGTAGCAGAGGAATGATTTTCTCACATGTCTGTGTGTTACAGCTCTCCGTTTTTGTGCTTGGTCCTTCACACTTCTTGCCATCACCAGAAGGTGGTGGATTTGTACAGGTTCTTTTTCTTACTTGCACACCGCCTCCACAAGTCTTATCACAGGGTCCAGGACTACTCCATGGAGACCAGTTGCCCTCTTCACCTATTTTGTTGCAATAGAGAATAAACGAAGTTTTCATCATGACTTATTATGTTTGGCAAGGAAAACAAATTGAAGCATTAACTGTCAATCATTTTATTACGCACTTGACTTATACAAGTCATAGTACATTATACCCAGCTAACGCCACATCTAACTGTATAACTTTTGCCGCGGCAAATCCGAACAATCTTAGAAAGGTTCTTTGTTTGTTGGCAAGTAAAATAAGCCAATAAGTGATAATTAGCACTTCTCCTCTTATCGCTCGTAGGCTATAACATATATTTCTTCAACCGTATTCGCTACTGGGTGAGCCAGTTTATAAATGTATGTTAAGAATTCCGATGATACCATTTTTATACCAAACCATGTCCAATAAGACGTAACATAAAAAAAAATACTGACTACTCAAACATCGATGACACACATAGAAAAATACAATGAAGCCAAAGTATACTCTCCCACCGCTTCTAGTTTCTGAATATAGTCGTCGATTGGAAATGCTTACCACAGTCTCGCGTGTTACAACCCTGGGTTTCCTCAGCTGGTCCCAGGTTTTGCTCGATACACGCTGGCCCACCATCAGACGGAGGGGGATTGGTGCAGGTCCTTGAACGTTTCTGAACTCCTCCACCACAAGTCACAGTGCATTCTCCCCAGTTTGACCAATCTGAGTATCCGCCAGGAACCGCTGAGAGGAAATAGTGAAAAAAAGAAAACGAATTGCGTGCTATTGATTGATAGTAAACTGTAGACTAATGCTGCAAACAGTAATACTTATGACAATCGTTTGAGTTACATTCCTGGGTTTCCTCGGCGGGTCCCAGGTTTTGCTCGACGCAGGTTGGTCCACCGCCAGAGGGAGGGGGATTGGTACAGGTCCTTGAGCGTTTCTGAACTCCTCCACCACACGTCACGCTACATTCAGCCCATTTAGACCAGCTAATGTAACCACCCGGCACCGCTAAAAAAAATTAATAATGCGTTGAAAAGGAATGTTTAATGCAAGAAAAACACAAAAGGAAAGCTCGTAGCAATGAAAGGGCTTGTCGGTTCACTTTACTTGCAAAATTTCAATTGGCTTTTTATAAAAATACAATTTCTGGTAAGACTGTTTCACCACACCACCAAAGATTTAAATTATAATAAAAGCGAATTCAGGTCTTACGACAGTCCTGGGTGTTGCAGTTCTCGGTTTCTTTAGGGGGACCAAGGTTGACCTGTTCACTGCAAGGTTTTCCATCATTTTTTGGAGGTGGATTAGTGCAAGTCCTAGAACGGTAATGGCTTCCTCCACCACATGTCGCCGAGCACTCAGACCATTCACTCCACTCAGTGAACCCTCCATCGATATCTGCAAGAATAAGATGTCGAATAAGTAAGAACTTGAAGGAAGATTGTGTTCCCTTTATTAAGGAATTTTTTTGTGAAAATGGGTGAGGTAACCAGTTATTTCTCTTGATGCATTGTACCCTATTGATCCTGTGTAATCTACAATGGATTTTAAGGGGCTTGTTAGCCTTGTGGCATCGGATGCACAGTGTAGGGTACATTTGCTTTTACTGATCTTCCGTTACCCCTTGTTATCTTACCCTTCCTTAGAATGGTGAGGTTCGTCATCACAGCTTTCTCTTGTAAGTACTGGTTGGATCGGACCGCAGTGTTTCACAGGCGCCTTCTTTATTTTATACATGACTGTTATCTGTTAGTATCATAATGGAATTTCCCTGCCAGCTTTTGCGACAGAAGCGAAGTCTTTTCTGCTTTAGAGATTTTGCTCTTCCGAACGACCAAATCATCACTTAAAGCAGGAGTGCAGGGAGTGCTTCGTTGAAAGGGAGGTTCTTACGCCATGTTCCGTTTCCATGATCGTATTAGTTGGAAAGCACCCCATTTCCACGAATGGTTCACAGTACTAAGCATTTTGACGTTATCGCTGTTGTCTAATTAATAACTTCAGATAAATGACACGTAGGTTAAGGTAAATGATAAAAAAAAGACTTACTACAGACAGCGTCCTTAATAGTATCCAGCTTGTTTGTCAGATCTTCAAAGCTCTTAGCATTCACAACTCGGTCTTTATCTCCAGCTATTGTTTCAAGCTCTGAGTTTTTAATATTTTTGCCAATGCCAACAGCAATTCGATGGACTCCCTCGTCCTAAAAAATGATTTAAATTAAGCCTGAGAGGAGTTAAAATGTTGAGGACTTTAACTTTTTTATGGTTTTTACCTTAATTTCCGTTGCTTTTACTAGAGAGAAAGGCCTAACTATGGAAAGATTCAGGTCAAGCCATGAAAATCTGCCATCGACTGAGTTCACAGTCAGACAAGACTTGAGCAAAACTAATCAAAATGAATTAAAATGATTCTTGAGCAATTTTTCTTGTTTGTCCTGTTACTAAAATGTTTGATTTATAAAAACTATAAAATTATGTAAAGATTTAAATATTCCGCAATCTAAGTAGTCATTAGCTTTGTACGTGGACACATTCCTAACGTTCAAATATGTTTAACTCACCAAAGTGAAGTTAATCAAAGTGGAAACGATTAGAAAGAAGGTAGGGTGTGGATTCAGAAAAGACATGCACTTTGTTTTAAACTGCGTGCTCACCTCTAGTTTTGGCAGTACGGTATCATAACTCTCTGAGTTTTTATGAGTTCCTCCGTCGGTGAAAATTATCATGATGTTAGGAGATTTTGGTCGATCACCATTTTCTGAGACAAAGACTTTCTCGCCGACCATTTTTAATGCCTTATCAGTCCTTGTGGGACTCCCTAATTTATCATTATTTTTCATGCCATCCAAAAACTGCTGCAGCGCGTCATTACTGTGGTATAAATTATCATTCAGTTTCACGCGAAGCTCTGGATCACCAGCGTACGCGATTATTGAGAAGTGGGTTTGGTCTTCATCCACTTTAAACTTGGATACGAGCCTTTTCACCGCGTCCAACATGAGATCATAGTTTTGGCCTCCCACGCTTTTGGTCCTGTCGATAACGAGTGATATATCTAATGGGGGATTTTCGCAATCAGACGAGGCAGCTAAAAGAACAAAAGTTTAGATGATTTCAGGTTACAATCAAACAAGTGCCTTATCTTCCAGCATGCGTATACTTTTAAATGACTGAATAAATAAATGACTGAATAAGTAAATAAATGAATGAATGAATGAATGAATGAATGAATGAATGAATGAATGAATGAATGAATGGACGAATGGATGAATGAATGGTGAGTGAGTGAATGAAGGGAACTCCGAAAGAGTTTTTGTGTGTATTGTATACTACGAGAATCTTAATCTTTCAATCTTCAATCTTTCTTTATTTCACACTATATATAGCATTTACACAAGTGTACGTAAGTAGGAGAACAACGTAGCTGATAAATAATCATTAAACTAAAAGACATTAAGTTCATTTGCGCACAGGTGCTATTTTAAATCTTTACTAACGTTTAGATTACCTTGATAGCGTGTAAGGTACAGTGAAACGAAAGCGCATAACCACAAAACAATCATGTTGCTCCCTTTGCCCACAGCTATGAAAAAAAAAGAAGAAAGAAAAGAGATAAGAAAACATAGTATGAACATCAGTAGTACGGTGTCACTAAGGCATTAATACAGTCAATTATTTTGTATTAAGGAATAGTTCCTTGACCCTTGTTCCTGGTCTCCCCATACAGTTCATCAGTTGTCGTGGTAGAGAGGGGCATGGATAGAAAAAAGAACAATTCCTTCCTCATAATGAATTTCACCGAAGCTGCCGAGGATTAGTTCGTCTTTGAAACACAATGGCTAGTGTTACTATTACTTAGGCCTAAGCCAAACGTCGAACTTTTCATGAGACGAGGCAAACTTTAAGTGTCTTAAGTTCATGAGAAGCTCGACGTCTGGCTAAGTTAAGTTCGACTGAATGAGTTTGGATCCAACACCTTCTATCTGTCTGCTTCAGATAGAACGTCTGAAGATCTTGCCAGGGAAAAACGTCGATCCTCACATGCGACGAACTAAAATTACCTAATAAACTAAAAAATGGTTTGAAAATGTTTATTTAGCCTCGTTCGAGAGAAAATTTATTATACTGAAACCCTTCTGGCTGGCTAAAGTTGCCTTTTGGTCTGGTCTGAACCAACAGACGATCTTAACTTAATTTAGGTCGACCCAAATTAGAGTTTGGTTCGTCTCATGAAAAGCTCGACGTTTGGCCTCAGTCGTGCGTTGCTTATCATCGCCTCATTTTCTTGCCATGCACTGTGGAACAATTTTACGCTCTAAATGAAATCCTTGTTGTAGTTTTCATTCTTCTAGAATGGAATTTCTGTGCCAGACTAGCTTAGTTACCGAGCAGCATAGACTGAATTGGTCATGAAGTGACCTAAAGTAATGGAATAAGGAAAACATTTCTCCGCCTCAAGATGGTTTTCAGATCGGGAATGTCAATCGAGATAAGCTTGTTGTCTGCTCTTTTTCAGAAGCATGAGTTCCATTATTAATTTTTTATCCTATAATGTTGCACAGAAAATTTCAATCAAAGCCTGTTATCTTATTTCTTACACCAAGCAGACTGCCTCAAATTTGTCCTGAACACCTAAAAAACTGGACGCGTGCGATTAAAATATTACATTACAAAAATAAAAGAAATTTAAATGTTCAAAAGAACGTTGCTTACATTGGTTGTTAGTAATTTCTTCAGTATCCTCTGCAAGAGAATACTCTGAATGTTCACTGAAGCCGAACCTTTGCGCTGAGATACTAAACAATTTCTTTTAGAAACGAATATGGTGAAGAAAATTTAGAAGTAGATCCTCTCTTTACCTACCATATTAAAGTGTGCTTATCATCTGTCGTGATGTGTTTGTGGAGAACTACGAATTGGTCTCCAGCATTTGCACGGTTAGTAAATGTTGTCCTTATCTCCAGGAAACTGGTGAGCTACGTTGTAAAGAATCCTCTTATTTCTCACCGATTATTTGAATTCTTGCCAAAAAGTAATCATTATGGTTTTAGTTTGTTCCAATTGTTTGTATTGAAATTGATACAAGAAATTAAAACTAAACTTAATTGTTCTTAACTTTTTTGACAAATAATTAATAATTCCTCCAATTATTTCTTAAGAAATTTGGAAAAGGTAATAGAGCCTGTACCATTGATATATAATGTAAAAATGTATTTAGTCTTTTACAATTAAAAATTGCGGCCACGGTTATTGCATAGGGAATGTCCTATGACCTAAAATGATATATATTGCGCACGAACCAGTAAATAAATATTACTTTCAAATCAATACCAATTTGGAGACAATTTGAAAAGTAATTGACATTTTTGGTTTTCACATCGGCCTTTTTTTTTTACTATAAGTTTGTTTAGTTTACTATATTTGTTTTTCCTCCGGAGTCTACCAAGAGGGCTTATGTCTCATTACTTTGCAAACATTTATAAATTGAATTCTTTGAGTGTGGTAAAAGTTCCTTTAAAATGACACAGCTGAAATTTTAAGTTACTGTAGTATAGATGCATGGAGAATCTTCCGAATTCTATAACAAAAAACATTGTTTTTCTTGCCAGTGTGTCGAAGACACAATTACTTTAGAGCTTATAATTTGAACCTCTGCTAAAAAATATAAAGCAAAAGAGATATCAACTCTGAATGGAATATTAGGGAGCCAGTGTAGCCACAAACTTAATTTAAACTATAAAAAAGCTTAGTTAAAAGTTTTTAGCATAAATTAGTAATATCTTCACATAGACTAAAGGAGATAACTACAGAACTGAAATATATAGACAACCGAATCTTTTTTGAATATATGAAATTCTTAGTTTATTTCTGAAACAAATAACTATGGTTTTATGTTTAATGTTACTGATTGGTGTGTCATTTCTCCAGCTGCCAGTAAGGGGGCGTCCCTACCATCCGGGACTTTATACGCGTAATTTTAAGACATGAAAGCGAGGCACAAAGCCTCTCTCCTCACTGCAACAAGGAAGTTCGGAAAATCTAAAGCGAGACTCCGCCGACAGCAACAGCTGACTCAATTGTTACTATCTACAGGAACGTGAGGCATAAATGTAAACTTGTTTCTTAAAATCTTTCTTTAGCTTTCTAGAGTTTAGTTCTTTTCTTCTTTTTGTGGATAGACTCAAAAAAACTTTCTACTTGCAAAAAGTTTTACCTTCTTTCTTGTTAATTCAGTTAGAAGGCTATGGATTCAGTTTCCATGTAGGTATGAAACGTAAAGCTGAGCGCAATAACTGATAGGAGTGTGAAAGTGGAGTAATGGAAAGTACAATCAACTCTCTAAAAAACGCACATCATTGAAACCGGCGCCAGTTAATCCTTCTTGCAGATGGTCAAAGATGTGTCCACCTTATAGTTAGTTAGTAAAAATGACTGACTAACGGCTGCAGTGACTAGTTCTGGTAAGAGTATGTTTCCTTGTGGGCTGACGTCCGAGCTTACTGTTAGGGAGCTTAAGCAACAAGGACGGCGACGGTTGCGAAAACGTCACTTGAAAAGTGAATAGGCATTGCTTCAGGCTTCACTGTGTTTATTGTATCTTGTTCAATTCGTCAAATGTTGTCAAATTTTTCTGATACTAAATTGACTTTATAATCGAAGTTCAGGAAAAGAAGAAGAAAGTCGTTGTCTTGTGTTCACGTTCTCCAAAAAGTGAAATTAAACAGTTTCACGTCGCAGTCGTGCAACGATTGCAAAGAAATGTACAAAAAAAGGGTGATGCACGCCCAAAGTAGCCTGCGTAGCAAGCGTTTCCAGTCGAGTTATAGCGCGAGAGTTGGAGCGGGAGCCAAAAAAAAGGAAGGGGGAGGGGGAGGGGAGAAGAGGAAACCTTCTCTCCCCTACCCCTCCCCCGTCATTCCTCTTTTTTCCGCTCTTGTCCCAACGTTCGCGACGAACTCGCGCGGAAGCGCTTGCTACGTAGGCTACGCCCAAAGTTGTTGTTTTGCCAATCTAAATCTATCGCTTTTTTGCCGTTCTCGTTGCCGTCTCCGCCGTTGTTGCTTAAGCTCCCCACAGTAACATGTTTGAAAACACGTAGACAGGACGAGCGTGTTGTCCTCCGATCTCATCCTGCATTTCATTCAAAGAGAAAGATGTTTTTATATGTTGTTGGTCAAAATAAAATTCACGTTCATATTCTTTATATGTTTGTTCTTCATTCCCTTTGTTTCTTAATTAATATATAGATTTAGCCAAGGCTAAAGGCGAAGCGTCCATTCATATAAATTTAATTGCCTAAAACAAAAAAAAAAAATAATTAAAATGAATAATCCTCAACCTACGCAAAGAATTCAGAAATTCATACTTATGTGATTAACAAAAAAAAGAGAAAATTATAATCCGATCACAGTAATAGCACAGTTTTGGAAAAGAATTCTTACTCATGCTTTTGCATCACTGAACCCCTCCCTCACCGCACCCCTTTGAGAAGTTAATGTGTGTGAGTGTGTTCTGCTCACAGACAGGTCCTTCCTAATAATTCTCGATCTAAGGCGCACCTCTTGACCGCTGCGTAAGGGCTGCCATCCTTCACTCTACCCAGCATTCCCGCTCGAGATCTTCCAGGAGGACTCCTTCCTATTATTCTTCCCTCAATAACTAATAAGACAAGATCACCATGCCGTAGGGTAATACCAGGCCAGACTCCCTGTCTTCTGTTGAGAACAGTTATGATGGCCCTCTCCGATCCTCACAGACACGACTCAATGGCTTCTTCGTTACAGACTTTGTCAGACCAAGAAATGTTTAAGACCTTTTTCCAAGGCCACATCTCACAGATCTCCAGCCTTCGTATGTCCCCTTTCTTCAGGGTCCATGATTCGGCTTCATACAGAAGAGTTCTCCAGACGACAGTCTTCATAATTCTCTTTCTCAGGCAAAGGTTGAAGGCGTTTTCATTAGTTCTTTTCTCTTAGTAAATGCATTCTTTGCTCGCGCTGTTCTTGATTGATCTTCATATCATGCCGCTGTTTCCTGCATTTTATTCATCATAACTTGCATACCTTTAACTGCATGAGCTGTCTAAGGTTCCTTGATCATGCACAAAGGGCACTGTCCAGCTGACTGTCTTGATGAGATGACCTCCCACTCGAGCGCCTTCATTCACCCTGCATAAAGCATTTTTTAGCATGGCTTCAGCAAATATGTTAAAGACTATGGGGGATAACGAGAAGCTAATAGCCCATGAAACTGTTACATAAAGGCTTGTTGTCATTCACGAAACTCTTTGGCTGCGCCCAGATCACAGTTTACGTTTATAGGTCGATCGTTTCGTCTACAAGGGATTCTACCCAAATGGTAAATTAGGCCGATTTTTGTGTTTAGATTAGGGACCTTACGATCCGACAACGGCGACGGCGACGTGGGACTTTTTTACTTCCGGTTACGTACTGCGCATGAGTAGATTTCTGAGACGGCGGTGTCCCTTCACGCGCGGACGTCTAGAGGCCTTGTTTGACGTTGTGCGAAAACGTGGAAATTAAAACCCAACTATGGCAAAGGAATCAAGGTAAAAACGAGACTTTGCGACTAAATTTAAAGAATACTAGTTTGTGTGAAATGTCCGAAAAGAACAGAGCGTGGAGTCTTTTGTATACGACCACAAACTGAATGGAGAGAGATTTGACTTATTTTGCTTTGTATTTGTTTGTGATTGTACTTCACTCGCTATCACTGAGCTTTCTTATCACTTACTTTCCAACTTTTTTCTCGATCAAAAAAAGAGAGCAATTAAGCTTAATTTTATTTTGGGTTTACTAGGAAATAGTAGAGAGATTTTGTCGGCAGCGGTACTAGATTCGACCGATGCAAAGTGTATAAATACTTTCATTGAGCTAATTTTCATTTATAATCGTAGATTAACCTTATTTTACAAGGAACTCACTGGCTGGGTTGTACAGTTGTATCGACGAATTCCGACTACCGCAAATATTGCTATATTTATAACTGAATCAAAAACAAATACAAAACAGAGACGTTCACATAATTTCCACTGTTTCCTAATTAAATAAGAATTATTTTACAAAATCCAAACTTTATTGATTGCCCAATATTTTGCTCCAAATGCTACACATTTTTTAGTAATTCATGACTGTTTTCATTTGAAAGCGTCCTTCCAACCTTAATTGTGTGTTTCCCTCATTCGGAAGGCAAAGGATAACCATCATGTATTCTCATGATCATTTCTTTATCTGTCAACAAGTTCAGCTAATTTATTGGAGGACTAAAGAAAACAAAGATATTGTCTAATATTATGATGATCTAGTTTATACCACCCAAAGCAAGTTATGTTATTTGTTTTAAAAATTTTGATCATGATTAGGACCAAGTGCTAGTAAATCTCAGATACAATGATAATGTTATTGTTAGCAAATTTTGCTGATATACTGATAGTTCTTCCTCATGAAGTAATTTTTGTTGCACTGCACTTTCAGTCAATCAATGAAATGGACTGAAGAACACGAATTGCTTATGTTGAGGGAATTGATGCTTTTGCAGCAATGGCTGCACAAGAAAGGAACTAGTGAGAGAGGAGATGATTGGGAAAAGCTGGCAGTATCCTTAAATGCTATTCCTTATCCCCAATTCCGTATTACTCAACGGTCTGTTCGTGACCACTATTCAACAATGGAAAAGAGAAGAAGGAAAAAAGTCAGGGAAGAAGACAGAGCCTCAGGTATTGCCCCTGAAGAGGACACGGAACTAGATCAACTGTTAGATGAAACCATTGAACTCTTTGATGAGTCTGACAAAATCACAGCTCAAACAAAACAAAAGCAGGAAGAAGAAGCAAAGAAAGCAGAGGAAAAACAGGAGAGATCATTGGAAACTTTTAAAGACAGCGCCAAAAGGAATGCCGATGAACAGCAAGGAGCAAGACCGAAAAAGGGTAGAGCTAGTGGTGCAAGCACTCTGGCTTACCTGAAGGATAGGGCAGAAGTAGAAACTACTTTAAAACGTGATGAATTGGAGATAAAAAGGCAAGAGTTAGCACTGCAAGCAAAGGAACAGGAAGGAAGACAACAGCAGTTTGATATGATGAACGAGCAAACTAGAGATATTCAGCAGCTTCAGCAGCAGCAAATGCAGCAGTTTATGCAAATGAATGCAAACATGATGCAACAGCACCAACAACAAACCCTTGCACTTATGGGACTAATGAAAAAGTTTGCTGGGAAGTGATGCTGGTCAATCTCTGCAAGAGGTCATTTAAATGCACAAAGAGTTCACATTTTTATTAACTTGAACATTTTCAAGGAAGTTAAAAATTAAAGATTTATAATAATAATTACTTGTTTACATATATAGTTGTAAAGGAAATGTTGCTTAATTTTGCCAACCTTTGAAAGTCGCCGAATTGATGTTATGCCAGTATCAAAACTGGGGCTGAGCCTTTATCAAGGCAATAGGGCTTATCCAACTATAGAATTGCATTACTCTCTGAAAATATGCTCACCATTATTTGTTCTCATTTAATAGTTTGCATTGGTGGCATTTATTTCACTTTAATTCCAATATGTTAGCCTTTCTCGATGGTATAATTTTTTTTTTTATTAAAAAGCAGTTCAATTTTCGAAAGGAAAAGTGTTATGTAACTTTTGTAAAACCTGTTTGGCAGACTTAGTGAAAATAATCCCAATTTCTGGGGAACATCAAAGTAGTCTGATGTGGTGGATCCGTAACAACAAACACGAGCATTGTGAAGAAGGGCACATGTCACATACATTTTGCCAACAGCACTTAAACTTATTTTCAAGTTTTTTTTGAAGTCCAGAAATTTAAAATAATTTATTATATCACCAAAAATCCATTCAACAGAAACTCTGACTTCACTCATAGATTCATTCCATGCAGCACTGTATGGGAGTTAGTCCAGCTCCTCGAAAAGGTCCTTGCAGATGTAGTCGAAGAGGATATGCCGGATCTCCATAAATACATAGGGGGTTCCCATTTGTGTCCACTGAAAATCGTTGCAATTGGTTTAACACTCCAGATCTAGCTAACATCCCACTGTCATGTCTCTTTCCCTCGACAGGCCCAAACAGGTTGGCAACAAGGCCACTGGGTGCTGCGATAGATTGAAACTTTATAGCATGGACTTTTTGTGACCATTGTATAAGCACTTTTGGTTTTGTCCTGGTCGGCATATGGGCCTCACAGTACCGTCAACAAACCCCCAACAGTTGTCAAGAGCAGCTCCCCTGTTGTGAACTGCAACGGCAAACTCCTCTAAATGATCGGGTCTTAACCAATCCTGGTTCAAATCAGTGAGAAGGCGGTTCCATGTTTGATACATCTTGTTCATAACAGCATTTGAGATCATACACAATTGTGGTTCTGGCCTTCCAAATCTGGGTATCATGTCTACGTATCTACAGGGATAGGCAAATCTTTTAAGAAAAATGCACAATGCCTCAACCATGTCGACATTTACACCATTCTAGCAAACGATCCTATCCGGTAAAGTAAACACCTCTGCCAAGTTGCAAATGTCATTCTTGTAAAATCTAAACTCAGTTTTACATTCATCATCGGTCATCTTGTCGAGATCGAAGCACTCGTAGTTAGTGTACGGTAAATCCGGATTTTTAGGCTTGTGTAAATCGTAGAGTAGCACGAATTCTACAGCGTTAATCAAACGGGAAGCATGAGCCAGGAGAATAGTGTCACGGAACTTCGGCATGGCTTTCTAAAAAACTTTCGTTGACTTAAACACGATAAACATCAATGACCGTCGTCAACGTTCTCGCTCGTAAAATTCGTAATCTCAATTTTGGATGGGAACGCCAACACGACGTGGCCCCGCTCGACCCAGACTTCTCACGTTGCCGTTGCCGTCGCCGTTGTCGGATCGTAAGGTCCCTAATATGTTGTCTTTGCAAACCGTTATGTGCAGGTAAACTACCCTTTAGATTATGTTTCACAATATCCAATACTCAGTAACCTTTACTGTAAGTTATACTAGCTGTTTCTTGTGGCGAAAAAGCCCAGGAAGGTTGATGACTTATTAACATTTGCACCTATGAATAACCATAACAAAGTGTCCTTTGCGGTTTCCAGTTATCTTAGCAATGGAGCTCCACTGCGCGCGCGGTCACTCAGATCCTCTATAATTATTCGTAACATTCATTAAAGAATTGCGATTCAGCGTGGATTGAAGCAATATAACCCGTATTTTATTTACGTACAACATATCCAGCACAAAACCTTAGCTAACACTTAAGAGGTTAGTATTTAAAGATATGTTCACGGTGTTGTGTCGGTGGCGAGCAAAATGCAACAATTTGTTATTAGTTATGGGGGAGGGGGGGGGGAATGTTCGAGCCGCAGGAATTTTTTTTCGTTATAAATTCATTCTATGAACTTTTTTTAGGCCGTAGCATGAATATTTTTTTATTTTGAATTTTCCCCTGCGAGAATATTTTTTGGGTACTTCGCCCACCCCCCTGCCCCCCCCCCATAAGTTTTCTAATGGTCCGTCCCTTGCGTGGATTTATTCTCCGTTGTCATGTCATCAAAAAATAAACTTAAGAAATATCAATTATACTGAGTGTTTACTTTCAAGAGGTTTTACAGCAGCTACACTCCTTTATTTATGCAAATTGTCGGTTAGAATTAGGGGTTCTCCGTTTTGCGATAGAGCACACGTGTGTGCCCCTCGATGCAAGGTTTCACTCAACATGGCGTCGCCATACAAATGTTATATTAATAGGCAAGGTTCGTATTCCCCGACAGCCCTGGGACGAGCAGGATTGCGAAGCGTGTCAACTTTTTTGGGTTGCAATTTGGGGTTAAAAATGACAGAGATTTTCGCTCCTTTTATAGTTTTCTTTATTGTTTAAGGTAAAGTGCCTCTATTATTCGAGAAACAAAGGTTGCGATTACTGATGCGTAGCCAGATCATCGACCGCGAAATTCAAATCTTCGTAAGCCACCGTAGCGTAACAAGTGCTGACTTAGGGGAGTAGGACTAGGGTGTAAAGAAAGTATACCGTCGAAAAGATCTAACAGGAGAGGGATGAGGCTATTTATAAAAGCTATATATAAAGGCTGCTCCCGAAATCTCAGCGCCTCAAATGAGCAAACAAGTTTTCAGGCCCGAAAAACTGACAACGCGAAAACCTAAACAGAACGTGCTAGATTTCCATATTAGTGGAAAAGTTGAATACAGAAGTGAAACGTTTAACATCACTATCAAAAAAAGCCGTCTTAGACCAGGACGACGAAAAATTTAAATTACCCTCGGCAGGTTAAAAGGCACTATCGCGCAGTGCATGTAGTTTCTATCTCGACTGCGTCGATGAAATTAAACTAAGACAACCCAAGCAGCCATTTTCCCTAAAAGGCATTTAAAGTTAGGGCCTTTTCACTTTATTGTCTTAACCAGGGGCGGATCTAGAGGGAGGAGAGACTGAGACTGGTATTCTGCGAAAAAAAAAAATGTGGTTTATTGGTGTTGAAGTAGTGCAAAAGACGAGTGCACCCCCTCCTAAAAAAAATCCTGGATCCGCCCCTGTTAACGCTTTGTCTTTAATAACCCGCGAGTCCCGCTCAGCTTTTAAATTAAACCAAGCGACAGCACGCGAAACTTTTTCACAGATTAGTTTTTGTTATGACCTTGAAACTACTTTTATTACAGAATATCTACAAGATTAGAATCAAACGTAGCCTGAATTTCATCCTATTACTTCGAGTCGTTATTACTCCCTCAGTATTAAACGTCTGAATCGACCGGCCGTTAATGACGTCCAGTGACGTCACTACTCCTTGACCTTTGCTTTAATTCATGCAAAAAGTAAAACATGATTTTCAAGTGGCAAACCGAGAAATATCGTTTGAAAATGTCTGCATGATACAGAACTGCTTTATTTTTTTCGATCGTAATTCATGTTTAACGTTCAAACTATCAACTGCATGCAGTACAACTCTGAACCGGTTGTACTAAATTCTATATTAAATCAAACTCGGTGGCAATCACGCAATGAAATATACACACACACGGAACACTTAGTTCAAAAACACGATGATTTTGCTTTAATTGAAAAGAAGCTATTTGGTCCTTAACGAAGAAAAAAAAAACAAGGAGACAAGAGAGAAAAGCTAACAGAATCATTACACTTGACGGTAAAAATAGCAAGAAGGTCGAATTATAACATTTGATCTCAGAAAACTTCGCAAAGCGGCTCTAAATGAAAAACCTACCGCAATGATTCTTCATTCGCAGTTCAAATTAGCATTTCAGTTTCGAAGAAAAGAGGACTTGCTGTTTAAGATAAAGATTAAGCTTATCGAAATGTTTAATTGAGCTAAGCGAAAGAAGGCCAGGGATGCGATCCGCTGAATATCAAGCGACAATCCCGCTAAATTTTTTTAATAGTTATACATAATTATGCGAATGTTTAGACAATCAACCAATCAAAATCACTACGCGGTTTTCGGGTAGTGAGTGACGTCACTGGACGGCATTAACGGCTTGTCGATTCAGACGTTGTTTAGACTGAGAAAACGACTCGAAGCAATCGCATGAATTTCAGGCTAAATCAAACGAGCAAAAGCACGTATTTTTTCACTCGACGCTGTTCTCAATTTGCGCCTTGTCGAGCCGGCTTTGTCTTACGAGACAGGTGCGACAGTCCTTTGGCTACCGACGCGTGCCATAGACTGAAGCGATTTTTGACTTTATTCCGTGTGTCAAAAAGTATGGGGGGTGGGGGAGCAGAGAGAGGGTGAGTCATGAGGTTTTGAGCCTTGCGCAAGGGGTGGGTCGTGCAATTTTCAGCTACACTTAGGGGGTGGGTCACCCTATTTTATTACATAGATAGGCACTAACTACTAACGAGACAGCTGACTACACTTGTTATATAGAACACAGTCAGCTAGAATTATTGCTAAAATACTTACAAACGTGTTGTGCGACAAAATACAAAGGGTGACAGGCCGCACATCTATACGGGCGTGGAATCCTCGGTTAACCTTTATTTTTTTGGCTCTAACGAGCATTTTCTTTAATGATTTTCCTTTTTTTGTAAGGAAATGATTGGTGGTTCTTTAAAAGTTTATTGAAGTTATAGTTGGTTTTGTATAAGATTCCATTGTTTCATTAAAGCTTCCTTTATAGTAGACACTAGAGATGGTATTGTGTCACGAATGGCAATAATTTTTTTTCCTCCTTGTTGTTTCGTTTTAGGAGTTTAGACTGCCTTTTGTGAATTTTATTTCTGATAGCAGGTTTTCTATCAAAGATTGTGGGTAGCCTCCGTCCATCAAGCTTTTTAAAAAAAAAAGAATTATTTTCCTCAAAGGTTGTTTCTGAGGAGTTTTTTCGTAGGATTCTCAAAGCTTCTCCTTTGACAAACCCTTTTTTAACATTTGGAGGGTGACACGAGGTGAAATGTGTGTGCAAGGAGTTTTCCGTTTGTTTAAAATGTGTCTTTGCATCAAGGATAGATTTTTCCGTGAATCTTGTGCCTTTGTATACAACCGTGTCTAAAAACGCAGTCTCAGTGTCAAATGTTTCGGCCGTGAATTCAATAGTTGGGTGATTTAAGTTTGCTTGTTCAATGAAGGCTTCGATGTCTGGTTTACTCATGTCCCATAGGGAAAAGATATCGTGTATGTAGAATTTCCAAAATGTTGTTCTAAAGACAGTTTTGCTTAGGGTTGTTGCTTCAATATATGTCATGAAAATAATGGCAAAGGAATCAAAACTGCTGTCTTTGTGCCCATTGCAGTTCCATGGTTTTGTAGGTAGTACTTTCCATTGAAGTGGAAGAAATTTTATTCGAGGATTAATTAATCTAAGCATTTCAGGCAAGTAATGTCTAGGAATGGGTTGTCTTTGTAGACATTTTCATATGCTTTGTGACAGATAATTTCAATATACCCTCATTTTGCTCTATATTTTGTGTCAAGACTCAACGTCCATCGAAACAAGAAATGTTCGGTTTTTCACATTTGTCTTTTCAATGAAAGGTATGATTTCTGTGATTTTCATATTGGTTGTAGCAGTGTACCAACAAATTTTGTCAAGCACAGAACAAGGTTTTATTGGATTATTAAGAGGAAACCAAACATCCATGTTTTAACTAGGGGGTGGGTCATGCAACTTCCAACACCTTGCTTTAGGGGTGGGTCAGTCATTTTGGGCCGAAGGAAGGGGCTGGGCCATGTGTTTTTTATCAACCACAATTCCAAATGCTCCAGCCCACCTAGACAGAAAAAAATAACAACATAGCCGAGTCCTTCTTTTCGACTAAATTTTAATGTCTACACTGGCAGACGTTTCTCCTCGCTCATCGCCATTGAGGAACGTTTCTCGAGGAGGAAGGTCTGCGACTCAGCGACAGAAATTCCATACTGATGAAGTAAATCAACACTACGAGTATTCCCCCATTTGTCCTCAGGGATAGTAGAGCGAGCGCGAGTGAAAATCATCCCACGCGAGAAAGGCGAGACGCGGTGTCGCCTTTTCTCGCGTGGGGTGATTTTCACCGCGCGCTCGCGTTTTGCTCGCTCTACTATCCCAGAGGAAAAATGGGGACCACTCGTAGTCTAACGTTAATCAATGTCTACATAATAAATCCGGTAGTCATGGGGTTCCAAATGCAAATTTGTTCAATTTTACGTGTCTCCAGGTCGATTTTGGAAAAGTGTTGTGTTCATCTGCGAATGAGCTCCAGCAAAACTCAAATGCTTCTTCTAGAGAAGACTATATTCCACACAGATTGACTGTTTTGCTAGAGATTCATCGCGTTTACATTTGACTTTTGCCGTCTTTTGTCTTTTGTCTGTCATTCGTAAACAATAGCTAGGACAATGAGACTGCTCCGTCGACCAATTAGCGCTTCTGACCGGATTCTGGACAGATTTTGCGTCATCAGTATGGAATTTCTGTCGCTCAGTCGCAAACGTTCCTCCTCGCGAAACGTCCCTCAGCGGCGATGAGCGAGGAGAAACGTCTGCAGTTTGCAGGCTAAGGCTGCGTGCAAACGGATCCAACATTGTTGCGCTACGCTTCGGCGATCACGGAACAAAAGAAATGTTGGGAGTTGTTGACTGAAAAGTTTGACCGGTTTCAAACTTTTCGCAACAACACGCAACAACTTAACATCCAACAACATGCAACAGGGTGTGCAAACGGACGCAACATGTAACATCCAACAATGTTGGGAGTTGCTGGCCAACAATACTGCGTCCGTTTGCACGGGGCTTAACACTGACGTGGATAACAGAGAAAGAGCTGAAGCGAGAGATAAAATACAAAAGAGACGAGTTTCGTTAAAAGAAAAACCTGAAAATGTTATACTGGCGGAGAGGCTATCTAGCGGCCACCAAGGTAAAAATGAGCGGCAGTGAAAAAAAAAAAAAGCAGACAGAAACACATGCTACATATCCTCTATAAAACGAGTAACTAGGAAATTTCTGGAAGTTTTACGTGGAAAACAGCATAAAAATGTACAAAAACATGTGCTGTACGTGCAATGATGTTTCTTTTTCGCTTATTAGACCTTTTGTTTTTGTTTTTTATGTTTTGCCCTTCTCGTTGCCTTCGCCATTTAGCATTACAGAATTTTAGTTTTTTATATGAAGAAACTATAAGTATATTAACGAGAGCTTGCTTTTAGCCCTATGTATTAAAAATAGGTGCTGGACATTGCGAAGGCTCCCCGTACAAAACTCTGTTTATTACCTCTCTTCACGGGGTCTGTATGGTGACACGGCTACCGGGAATGTTACAGTATGACCCTGTTTCCAAATGGGCTACACTTTGAGTTGTTTATAGTCTCTTAATTCTCTTAACTCTCTTACAGAGTTACCTCGTGTCTATTTTGAATTTTTTTTTTCTTTTTCACATAGCTGAGAGCGTTTAAATGGAAACCTTTTCAAGGTTTTCAATTTTTGCAGTTTTATGTCAGTGAGAATCGTTTCCCTTTGGATTCCCAGTTACCAGTGATAAGTCATTGTTTATTCTTTAGATTGTTTCGTTCCAGTAGAGACATTAGAAAGCTGGTGGTCTCTTCTATAAGTTTTTTAATTTAGCTCGTATTTCTATTTATTCTAAAATGTGATAATAGTTACTCAATCCAGCTGGCCAACGCTGATTTAAACAATGCAGATGTCTTTCGTAAATCAAGCTTTGAGAGATCCTCTAAGTTCTCTAAGTTAAACTAATTCCTATCGCAAATCTGTTCGATCTGAAGGAAGCGCTATCTGTTGCACCATCAGCTTTTCGGTCAATCTGTTTATTGTTCACAAACTTGATTACAACTAAATCTTCCTTTCTGTTAGTCCCCAACACCATGCAAAAAATCACAGTTAATTGACCCCTTTATTGTAAAGTCCTGTTCTGTTCGGGTATTAATTTCTGAGAAGTGTTGATCGCCAGGTCCCGAACATGTCGAACTGGGTACCAACAAAGAAATTATTTACTCGTTCAAAATGTCTTTCACAACAACACCGGTTAATTTTTCACGTCAAGGTAACGCTCACCAAATTTTGATCAATGACGTCATTGATGAGAAAGGAAGCAAAAACTGCAAAAAATAAAGAGAAAACAAAAGTGACATTTTTTAGGTGTATCTTGTTTGCCTATTTTATTTTATTTATTTATTGTCTCACACTATTTAGATTAATATTTACTCTTAGCATCTCGCTTACTCAGCTTTAGTCAGCTAAGAAAGCTTTCACATCTCGATTCAGTGGAGGTTAAATTTTAAGTTTTGTTTGTTTGAAATCATGTACTCTTCTGATAGATTGTAGTCCTTGAGTCTTTCAAATCCAGGGTCCATGATATAAAGTCACATATATGTATTTAAGCTTCCTTGTGCTAATAAATCAAAGATGAACGCAATTAAGTGAAAAATTCATTATGAAATGGGTGATTAATTATAAATTGACTAGTACAAGGAACTTTTATAGGTTTATAAACTAAGGTAAATACTCACTTTTAGTGGTTTCAGTAGATTAAACGACCCCAGCTAGCACAATCTGCAAATAAATAGTTGTGACACAATATAATGAAATGCAAGTTTTTTTTTGTTTTTTTTTTCTCTCGAAACAGTATTTAAACCTGTCTACCACATCACAAGATCCTTCAAGGGGTAATTGCATTCCAGCAAAATACAGGAGCAACGAATGCATACGAGGTTTATCATCAGTTTGCAATAGGGAAAGGGCTTAAACTCCGTCAATAAAAATAACACTGCTAACTTTTCTGGTGAGAAAATTACAATGAAGCCTCCACCATGGGACAGAAAAAGAAAGCGATCGAATTGCGGAAATCTTATATGTGAACTATTTTTTTGTGGACTTTGAGATATGATCACTTCCTTTATTTTCTTTTCTTTTAGACTTTTTAAGTCGTTAGGCATCCAAAGCTTTCAAATAATCCGGCATTAAAATATGTTATCTCGAATTATCAAAACTCGTCTGTAAGACGTTTCCGAATCGACATTGTATTCGTCGCTGCTCACAGTCTGCGTGCAATTGAATCGATGAAAGATTACTATAATCACCTCTCTCAGGATTATTACTCAAGGGATCTGAAGTAGTCTTGGGACAGTAAGAGCGTGGGAATCTCTAACATCACCTGGTTAATTTTACCGACAAGAGACGGACCATTACAAAGTGAAGAACCACGAGGGAAGTTTCTGCTGGTCTGTTAATGTTTTGCTTCGCAAATGTGTGCCTTTTTCAGCGTTTTTTCCCTAGCTTGAATCAAGAGCCATAATAGGACTTGAATGTAACAAGCAAACTAAAGTCAGTTTAAAAAGGCAGTAAAGATGCCTTAATAAAATAAAGCTAATTTAAAACTCACCACAGAAGCCCCAATTTCCTTTATACACAGGATCCAAGGAGCACCAGGGTCTGTTGTGACCAACATTAGTGCAAGAATTGTAGGTCACTGCCTTGTATTTAAATGGAATACTGCAACACTTGCCTGATGTTGTCTGAGGACAAACAGTTGGTGACGGTGTGGTGACTGGTAACGCTGTCAAAGAAAAGACAGTGCCCTTGATATAATGATACTCTAACTTTGAAATACACACTAAAGATGCTTTAGCTGAGTCAATGTAAACTCACGGCAGTTGCCCCATCCCCCCTTATACACAGGATCCAAGGAGCACCAGGGTCCGTTGTGATCAGCATTAGTGCAAGAACTGTAGGTCACTCCCCTGTATTTGAATGGAATACTGCAACATTTGCCCGATGTTGTCTTCTGAGTGCAAACAGTTGGTGACGTTGTGGTGAGTGGTAACGCTATCAAAGAAAAGACACAATGATCTTGGTATAATGATAATGTAACTTTGAAACATACACTAAATATGCTTTAGCTGAGTCAATTTAAACTCACGGCAGTCATATCCCGTTATACACAGGATCCAAGGAGCACCAGGGTCTGTGCCAATGAACAGAAGTGCAAGAATTGTAGGTCACTGCATTGTATTTAAATGGAATACTGCAACATTGGCCTGAGGTAGTTTTCTTATGGCACGATGCAGTGACTGGTGACACCAAAAAAGCGAAAATGTAAATCTTTGGTGTGTTGATGATATCATATTAAAAGACAAAGTAGAGACGCCTTACTCTTTAAGTCAAATTAAAACTCACCACAGTCGCCCCACCTTCCGTTATACACAGGAGCCAGGGAGCACCAGGGTCTGTGCCAATCAGCAGAAGTGCAAGAGTTGCAGGTCACTGCATTGTATTTAAATGGAATACTGCAACATTGGCCTGAGGTAGTTTTCTGATGGCACGATGCGGCTGGTGACACCTAGCCTGAGATCAAGCCCTCTCCCTATTATCCCTTTATGTCTCTCACGAGAAGAGGGCATGATACATTTCATTGTCGGATCACATGTAAAAAAGCCAGAATCTGGACTTTTTTCTGATTGGATAGGAAACGATATGGATGATTTGCGTTGTTCCGATTGGCGAAAATGCCGCCATCCGTTAGTTGTTGTTGATTTCAGTCGGCATTTTTGCATGCGTAATGAGCAGTGAATACACACGCGAGTTCGTTATGAAATTTCTGCCGGCTCAGTTTTCTTGAATTTGAAGAATGCCTAAATAGTAGTTTCATCCACTGAAATATTTTCCATCTCATCGTATACTAAAACAGTTGCAGTCAAAACTTCACCGATCATTTAAATGCAATTTGCATTGATACCGGCTACAAGTTACAGAAGCGACAAATGGGTTCACTTTTCAAATAATCAATTCATGATTGGAATCTTGACCTGGTTTGGCTGTTATTCCTCCTTCAGAAATCATGCTGCGAATTATTCTGAGCGATCTTCGCGTTTACAACACCTTTCAGTTCGTGAAATATGGCGCTTCAGCCAAATTTTATTTTTCACTGCTTTCGGCACAGAACGAAGTCAACGAGCTTTAACCAGTAAAGATCAGTAAATTCTTTATTATTTGTAGCTGTTAAATAAAGGTACGGCAGCTTCAGCTAGCAGTATTTCATCACAAAAACAACACATTAAAACTTTTTTTAGGAAGCGCCATCTGAACATGGACGTACTTGAACATTTTCTTTTCCCTAAAATTGATTTCAAAAGAGACTAGCCTAAAATTCATCCGATTGGTTCGAGTCGTTTTCTCCTCTCAACAACGATGTTACTGAGGGAGTAATAAAGACTCGAAGTAATCGAATGAAATTCAGGCTAAAAAGAGACATTATTCGCGCCAAAATTTGATTCCCGTATTGTAAAGGCTTATTGGTTAATAACATGACAGGTCAAGCAGACGTTAGATTATGTAAATTAGGGGGCGGTTGACGGCTTGTTAAATAAATGTATCAGGCGTTATTTTTTTCCCTCTCGAGCCAAAGAAGCAAAGACGCAAAAAAAAAAAAATTAAAAAATAAAATAACGCCTGGTCTCAGGTTAGGTGACACCAAGAAAGAAAAAGTACAAGACTCGATTTTTGATAATATATATTTTTTTTCATTCAAATGCAAGCAAATCCACCTATGAACGACAGATCTCTTTTACTCTGAGATAAAAATATACACATAAACTCAGCGCCAAACAATACATAAAATCTTCTGAGAAGCAGGAAATCGCCGGCTTAAGATCGGCTAAAATCGAACCTTCGATCGTATCCGAATCGCGATAAACATATTGAAATTGCCTTATCAAGCCAATAGCAAGCATCTAAGGCCACTATGAGATCTTGAAAATTCTCCAAATCGCTCTCTTCATGTTCTCTTCCGTAATGTTTATCAGAAATCGAAGCACTGTTTTAATCGCAGGTTTTTGTTGATCTCTCTCACGAGATGCGTACTCGAGCGTGTCGCGAATGATGAGGTACATTAACAGTTTTACCCATGACACTTTGTGGGTCGTGACGCACACCGCCTGTTAAAAGACAGAGTAGAGACGCTTTA